TATGGGTTGAGCTGAGGACCATGAATGGAAAAGACAAGTAGTGCTGCAAATGCTGTGTCTAACTTTCACCAGCTGTTGTTAAATTCTTCCGGCAGCACTAATTGTTGTGTGTGTGGTTTAGTATAAGGATATCTGGGGATTAAATGGCATAGTCTGCATGCCTGCAGTCTAAGTGTGCGTTGTGTAGAGACAGGAGGTCATTCTGTAGCCGTTTCTCAGTACAGTCTAACTTCCCATTATTTGCATCCTCTACACATTTGGCCATTTAAAAAAAATACATCTTTTGTTAGCATAATTGGCTGAATGGATGCTCAACCATAGCAATTTCAAGAGGACAGAACGCAGCCAGTTTGTTTAAATTGACGAAGTATGTATTTCCAAATTGTTAAACACTTATCTGCTGAATGGGGCTTTTTTGTTGGCATAAATATCAGAATGAGTGGTTTGTTGTGAGTGGAAAGGTTTTTCCAAGCTGGGGTGATGTGCGATTTACTATGAGTCAACTGTTGTTGTAGTCCATGCCCCTCTGCTAAACTAAGATAAGCTTGGCATGAATGTCAGAGCCATCTCTCCCCAGGGGACACACTGCTTGTGCAGGCCTGCTGGATAAAAGCTATGTGGTTTACAGTTGCCCTGCTCTCAATGATGTAATTTTGGATGTATATAAAAATCCATTATGAGTGTGTTAACATTCACCGTCATGCTATATATATATTTATGTATTCCAATACAACTGTTTATCACAGCTCAAGCTGCATATTGCACGTAAAAAGTGGAAAAGACGTTAGCAATTCTTGTTACTCTGGGGTTATTGTACATTGCTCCAGATAAACTGTAAATGCACCATTGTTCTTGTCCTTGTCTCTCGGTGCAGCATGCTGCCTCTGTTACTGAAGGACGGTCTGCTGGTGCCCTATGTTGTGACCTCGCTGGCCTTCCTCTTCTTCAGCCTCTATCTACTGTCTGCACTGGAGCACTGCTCAGAGGAAGAGCTGAGACTGGGAGCCTACCACAAGATGCTGTTTTTTCTACCAAAACTGGACCTGGCCTGTATTACAAGATGGAAGGTCAGTGTTGTCCTGGTGCAACCCGTGGCAATATTAGATGTTAATGTAACATATAACTGTTTCAGAGGCATTTTAATTGCTACAGTTGAACATGTAGCTAGGATCTACTACTTACAGACCTAGAAATATACTATATAATGATATTGAAGCAGTAGTTATACCTACATGTCAAAACTTTTACACATTTACATTGTTATGGTTTATGGTTAAGGTTTTTATCTAGAGACATCTTTTGACCAGCAAATCTTCAACTCAGTCCTTGCTGAGTATGTGTAGACTCAATAGCAAAATAAATGTTAATCAGCATTAAGAGACATTAGTTGTACAACTGATAGCTGTGTCTTACTGATGGAAAAAAGTACAATTTCACCAAAGACTTGCTGCATATGAAAGATATATAAATATAAAATGGTGCATTTATATCAGTAAGAAATTGTAGGTCAAGCTGCAGAGGTCTGCAATCCCAGAGATCTGTATGGTGGGCAGTGTCTGTCATTGTGGTTGCAGCTCTAATTGGTTGCTAATAAAATAAAGGTCATGCAGATTACTTAATACCTATTAACACGGCACGGCAGTATTGTATGTCTTCATAGGAGTAATTTAAAGCCACTATGTCTAGAGTATCTATTTGATCACAGCATCTCTCAAATTATTCTAATGCCATGAGCTTTTCTTCGTAGAGACATGGGACAATGCCAGTAAAAATTGGTAGAGTCTGTGTTGCTCTCAGCCCATTCATCTCATTTGTACGGGGTCAGTTGTGGCGTCAGTTCCTCTCGACCACTGTATCTTTTTTGATATTACCACTAGGAGTCGCCAGAATCACAAATTTTCCGATCGTACACACTTTAAGTTTAAAGTGTCCTTTTGCTTTTGATAAGGCAGTGAACAGGGAACAGTGCTAGTGACATTGCTGCTTGATTAAATTAATAGTTCACATCTTGTAGATGGCGGGAGGAGGATGTACAGCTGATGCATTTGTAATAGGAAGGGTGCTGATTTCAGGATCCCAGGTGGTCAGTACTTTGAAAGTGGCACTAGACCTAAATTGCAAACGTGTGAGAAGATATACCCAACTGTATAAATAAAGATCATGTGCCGATGTAAGCTGTGTAAGCTGTCCGGGGATGAAAGCTGCTGCCAGCCAAAGAATTATTTATCACTTATTTAAGTTTCCACAGCGTCTGAAGTGGCTGCGCTGCCAGCCCCTTAGCGACAGGGGCACCGGTAGGGTGTCAGAGATTAAGACGAGGTGTCTTTTTATAGCGCGTGTCATTAACACAGGTTTGCCTAGATATATTTATTTACACAAGCAGCATAAATAGCGAGCCCCAATGAAGGCGATAAGGTTTCATGGGTTTGGGGTGGCGGGGAGGGTGTGGGCATGAGGTGTTTCCTCCATCTTACTCACGGACTTATCTCTGGGTCATAAAGCCCAAATAGACACATGAATGATCTCACTCTCACCATCAGTTCTGTTTGCAACTCTGTAACAAGGCAAAAAGTAGTTATGTAGGCCTTAATTCAAATTGGCTATTCTGCAGTGTGATACTACAAGCCTCTATTCTTTCTTTATAGCACCTCTCAAATGAGCAATATGAAGTCATCCAGTGATAAATATGCAATGTGATTTAAGAGGTTTTTCAAATTAAATCATTCATTGGTTTGATATTATAGTTACACTTAAAATTAAGGGAAAAGCTAACGGTTTGTTCTGAGCCTGAGGTGCCCAGTCTTTTCATCGTTTTACGAGGGACAGTTTCTGGTATGGAATATCAATTCACTCATCAAACACCAGAGTTGTCTGCATTAAAGGGGTATTTCAGCAGTTTACAGAAGCTGAGCTATCCTAAATTTTAGTCCCTAGAATAGGTCTAACTCCAAAAAATGCTGAATCTTGTGCTTTACATAACCCTCCCTGTGTGGCGAACGACCACATCTTTAAAATTCCACAGCTCAATTTGTACGCAGGGTTTCTGTGAGAAATATGTTCAGAAATACTTATTTTTTACCATTTTATCTGTTCTTATGTGTAAGCTTACCCATTATTTTTTTCTTTATAGCTATTTGTTATTCTTATTTGCTAATGAAGCACTTTGTAATGGTAGTTTTGAAAAGTGCTATAGAAATAAAGTTATTATTAATCTGAGCATAAGGACAGTGAGATGTGATTGAAAGCTCAAGATGAAGCTAGTAAGTCAAGCTTGAGTTAAGATTTTTTTTTTGTCAAGCTAATATGAGATGTTTCGTCTCTCCTTTTATGCGGCTCTAAAGTATCACCTGCCCCCAGCTATTTCACCTCAGCCTGGGTTTGCCTTTTAGCATTTCAATATGAACTCAACATAATACTAACTAACTAAATAACTAAATAATCTGATCTCATTTCAGTCATTTCATAACCACTCTGTCTTTCTATGTTACAGTTCTACATCGGCGTCGCAGCCATGGCTGGCCTGAGCGCCGTGAGTGTAGCTCTGGTTCCTCCACCACATCTACCTGACTTGTTTCCTGTGTTGGTGTCTACTACAGCTTTCCTGCAATTCTTGGGCACATTTTTATATTTCAATATTGTCCAGTTCAGCGGGCCACCCAGCAGAAAGACCCAGAAGAAGAACAACTGAATGGTGCCAACGGCAGTGAGATACATGTGCCCTAATTTTGCTACAGGAAAGCTGATGTTACATTGTAGGGCATGTCTGCTCCTAATGTGCTTGAAGGCTTTCACTCGTGCCATTGTGTCCCCAGTGCAAATAGCACGAATGTACAGCTAAAATGATTATTAATTGATTAGCTGAGAAAATTAACTATTTTGATAAGCAATTAATATTTAAGTAAAATTTAAAGAAAATACGGCAAACATTGGATGGTTCCAGCTTCTCAGATATCATTTTCTGCTTTTCCTCGTTTACCATTACAGCAAATTGAATAACTTTAGGTTTTAAATGGTTGCTCGGACAAAACGAGAGATTTGATGTTATCACCTTGGGCTTCAGTTTTCTGAACTTTCAAAGACAAAGTACCTGTAATGGAGAAGGTAACTGGCGGATTAATCAATAATGGAAATAATTAGTTGCAGCCCTACACAAATGCTTAATAAGACATACTGTGGGCTGAAAAGTCATTATACTATAAAATGGAAACTCAGATGAGCTCTGACATCAAGTGAAATTAAAGGGTAGTGATATTTCTCTAGTTTGGACCAAGTAAATTCATGAAAATCTGTCGTTTCTGTATATTTTCCCAAACTACATAATCCCTTCATGTGAAAAATATCTCTTTTCTTGAATTATGTTTTGCTTGGACCAATGATACTTTACTCTTAAAACCACATTATTGCTACCTAATCTCAAGTACAACTAGGTAAGCAGTGTGCAGCCTACGCACTTGACTTTAGATAGCTCTGTGTCAGTATGCTCAAGCTGCAGGAGGTGGCCACAATAATAGGAACACCTGTTTCAATGTTCGGTTATTGTTTAGACCGTTGGGGAAGGTATTGATTTAATTGTGTGGTAACGTTTAAAGCTATAGGTGGTGGTGGTGGTGGTGGTAGCCTTAAGGATGTTGTGAGGTGTTCCTGTTGTTTTGTCCACCCTCAGTACCCCTCCTAGGGATTGTGATTAAAATGCATACCTGATGCGACTGGACTCAGGGTTAGCAGTAATGGTTGTCATTATCTATTCATGTGAGCTTTTTTTTTTTTACGGTTTTCTACTGTATATTTTTATCCATTCTTGAAGTTATTTTGTACAAACTTAGTTTTTGTGAAAATAAATAAAAATTTCTCAGTGACCTAAAGTGAACATTGGTTTTATTGCCACATTGTTAAATCATTAGATTTTGAGCAGCTTCATATAAACTGTCTACATTTACCAAGTAGTCCGCTAAATCACCCCTAACAGTCTGGCAGAGACAGAGCCAATAATTGGACAGAAATTATATCTTTCAAAGCTTTTACTCAACATCATTAAATATTCATTACAAGTCCTAGATACTACAAGGGTCCTGCACAAAAGACCTGTTCATTTAAAACAAAATCAGTGACAGGACAGGCCTTAAAAAGAGATGATGGAAGGTGACATATCTGAACATAATGCTATAAAGTTGAAATACCACAGAAAAAGGTACAAGCAATTTCTTTCTCCAATCTCTGAGCGAGTTAATGACGGGCATAAAAAAATCCATTACAACTATAAATGTTATCAGGTCAGTGAGGGTTGCCTGTGCATCTGAGGCTCCAGGCCGCTAGCCAATACTGGGCCACAGGGACAAATAGGAGCCCAAGATCTGAGTTAACTGTTACTACAATGGAACATGAACACAAGGGGACAATTAGAGGTGGTATAAAAGGTGCTGATTTGCCCTTTTATTACACATGTTTATATAAAGCCTTGCTAATTCATTTAGAAAGATGTGAGGAAAAAATGTAATTCACCTCCCTGTGCCTGAAATGGGAGGGTAAATTAATATTATTAGGAAATTAGTGTTATATTACAAGGTAAACAACTAACACAGTTGGAGCAAAATATTAAAAATCAACACATACAAAACTATTATTTCTGGTCTACTTTATTCAAATTAATCAGCCATAAAAAGATAGAGACAACTTTAGATAAAGAGACAACTTCTCCGCCCGCTGTGGAAGATCCTGTGATAGGATCAAATGCTGCAGGAAATTAATAAACTACACTTTTGATCATCTATTTATGCTAATTTATCAAGCTTAAATCTCAAAGTTCATTGGGTTCAAGCTTCTCAGATGTGAGGATTTTGTGCTTCTATGTGAATTATTTATCATTGTAATGTCAGTATTTTGTGGGTTTTGTCTGTTGGTTGGATAAAAATAGATATTTGAAGACACTACTTTGGAATCTTAAAACTTGTACATTTTCACAATTTTATTACATTTAATAGAGTAATAAAATAAGCAAAAGATAAATTGCTAAGGAAATAAGCATTAGTTGTAGTATATGTAGTATATAATATGTGTATATTGATATACAGGTTATATATAAACCAGACAAACAAGGTTTGAAACAAACAATATAATATAATAATCACTGAAGCAAGCCGCATTGTCTGTGCTGTGTTTACACTGCTCTGTTGTAACTTTTTCGAGACAGATTACGTTACTAAAACTGTATGATAAAAAAAATCCAGTTCATGTGCTTCTGGTGTTTAAAAGAAGTTAAATAATTACACACCAAAGAAGCCTTTTTCAAAGCCACAGTGAAGATAAGTCTTCTGTCACCACCTAGTCCCTGACAAGTTACCCAGGATGCATATCCCCAGTCTCTGTGGCTCTAAACCTTAGAACAGTGGCAGGCACAATAAGTAGATACTGAGCCCTCCTAGCAAAAACTCTGTGTTAATAGGAGATGAAGAACACCCCCCCTAAGGGACCCCTAGATTATAAATACACATTACAAGAAGTAAGTAGAATAACTAATAGTTTTAGATCCTGACCTAAAGTGAAAACCATTGGTGTAGGCAAAAGATTATTTGATGTGTCATGGGTGGTAAAGGGGCATTAAAAGTACCACGGATCCTTCCATCAATCTCCAAAGGGGCTTGTATCAAAACATTAGTTTTGTTTATGGGCGTGCTGGCTTTGTCCTTCACGTGGCCTCTAAGGGTGATAAAGTGAGAGTTACACGATCCACCTTAGGCAGAAATAGGAAATGTTGCTGTGAACACCAGCTGTTGCTTAGGTCGACTCGGGCAGTGAGAGGCCTCGGCCTTCCCAGGCACTACCAAATAAAGAGACTACTGTGTTGTGCAAGTCAGTTTGCCCCCCCCCCACCTTTACTTTTCAAAAAGGTGTTAAACTGCACAGGTGGGGAGGATTGCATAGTTTTAGCCATAAAGGGGATGAGGGTTGCCATCTGAAAGAACATTATTTGCACAGTGTTGCAGCATTGTGGTTAATGTAGAATCAACATTTGTCAGGTGCCAGGCAGAGGCTCCGGCGGGTAGACAGGGTCTAATACGTCAGAGGATTCGCTCCCACCATTTCAGACGCCTCTCCTGCAAATGAATGACGGCCTCCAAGACATCTCCGCCTCACGACTGACAGTAGATTCCACATTCATCTCCTGCTTTATCTCCGAGGGATCATACGCACAGGAGGTGAAGAGCAATTCCATTAGCTGTCAACAGCCGAGATGCCTCGCTAACAAAAACCTGGGGAATATGGGAGAGGAAAACATGATTGTAACCCCACTGGCACCCAGTGATATTACACACACCACACTCACTGTCAAGATTGAATGTTCACAAAGAAGAGAGTTAACAGGAGGCATATTTTCCATAAACCAATGCTATCTGTTAATAAACCAAGATGTATGGAAGTGGATTTCTGTCAGTCTTTAAACTAAAATTCATTTCAAATTTAAAAAATAAGAGTTGAAATGGATTAATGTACCTCAATCCATAATGGACTTCAGAAACTCGTAGGAGCTACCCAGCTTCACAGTTCCTAAAAAGAGAAATAATGAAAGTCAATTTCAGTTCATTAGATGCGTAAGAGTGTTTATTTAAAAAAAGAAATGGATACTATTCAATGATCTAGGCGATACTCAAGGCAGGGAAATTAAACTAAATATGTAACTGGACGAGAAATAACTGAATGTAAAGTTCATTATTATCATACAATCTTATCCTTTGATAATGCTAGTTAGTGTTTTCATTAAACCCTCAGCTATATTTGGTTATGAAATAAATACTTATTTGCTCACTATGTTAATATTTCAAAGAAACATGGAAGCAAATTTTTTGCACCCTACGATGAAATGCAATGACATTCACTAAATCAGAAATCACGCCTGAAAAGATTGCATACTCTGCAACCCCACGGTGTCGATCGAAGGCTACTGGCTTCACTTGGACCAAAACAGCCTAATATACAACTCCCCCCTTTAATTGCAACCGTGTGTTCAATCAGAAAGCATAAAACTCCCGGTGGGTAGGTGGCATCTGTCCATGAGGTCTGCTAGGATTGATGTGCCAGAGTCTGCGAGCTGCCTGGACCGGCAGCCCACGACCTGCGACACGGCCCCATCACTTTTATGACATCTTAAGGAATCTTCTTTTTAATACAGCCCATTACTGCTGACATACAAATCTTCCCCAACGTGGCCCCATCTATGGCCTGATCAATTTTTACACTGCTGAGCCGTCCCCTTTCCCCTCATTTTGTCATCTCAAAATTCATATTATATAGGATTTTCTTATGGGAAAAACAGCAATAAAAATACGTTACCACCCAGAAGATGCCTACAAGTCAGTACTTGGCTGTTACTAAAAAGCTTCGGAGAAAATAAAATTTGTTTCTGTAGTAAGCAGAACTGTTTAAATGTTATTTATTTTTATGTTCCTAAGAAAATATATTGTGAAGTGCAGCATTGATTTAGAACATAACCATGTCTCGATACGGGTTGGAGGGGCTGAATTTATGAATCCTTTGCACAACTCCTTTAATTGAATTTTCCAAATCTCTCACCACACACAAATAATCAATACCTACTGCTGAGGGAAACTTGCCTCAGAATTATTAGGGCCTTTCTTTTTCAATTTTGTAGTCATCAGCACATACAGACGCTGCGGGTATTTGTAATGCCGCGACTATACCCAGAGGATTTATGCCCGCCCCAAGCCTGATTGCTCACCAAGAGTGACTTCTTTAGAATGCTTACTGAAACTTTTGTTAACCTTAAAGGACGGTCGTAAGCGCTTCTTAACACTGCACTCTCACTCTGAGGAAAGAAGTAGTTTTAACTATCACAGCGTAAGGCGGAAAAGGGGATGACAATGCAGAAAAAAGGTGGGAGGAGGAAGGAAAAAGAGTGGTAAAGAAGAAGACATAGGAGGAGAAGTGGAACTGGAGGATTGGCCTTCAAGGTTTAAATGTCCTCATGGATTTGCTCAGCTGCCTTGTCTGGGTGGAGGCGTTGGGAGGCTTGGCACTTCAGAGAGGGGAGAGCCTGGGGTACACAGTCTGAACATGCAGAAAGGGCTCTACCTGGTGTGTAATGGCTGCCATGGAAGATTTGTTTTATCAGACAGATAAATGAGTGCAGACGATATACAAGGCTCCACAATCTGCCGTGTTTCAAAGAGAGTATATGTAATGCAAGATTAAATAACTTTCCTATTTTTGCCTATTAAAAATGAAAAGTCAAATGTCTAAGCACTAAAACACATCCTTACTAACTTTAATTCACTGCTGTTTTGCTGCTGCAGCCTTAGTCAGACTGGTATGACTAATAGCTTATGGTAGCTAATGTTAGCAAACTTTCTGTGTAACAAACTGAAACCATTGAATCAGTTTGCTGACTATGACTCTTCTATACTTGTGCTACTGTCACTGCACTACATTTTACCATTATCCATTATGAATAGTCTGTTTACTTGCCCCAGTCATGTGCTACTATTGTGCGCACTGTGACTCTCAACATATTTTTTTTTACAGCAGACAATAGAGTTTTGAATTGTGGTCTTAGTTTAGAAGGGTGACAGGTGCATGAGATAGTCTCAAAATTATAATGTAGTTTTACACTAACAACAACAAATTTGGATTTGAATGTGAATGGTCTTTACATCTATTTAAATACTGTGTATGTCAGCATGGCTCAGGTAATGGGGTGCTTTGTCTGGTCACTTGAAATCATACTAAAGCCCAACCAACGGGTGGGTCGCAACCCAATAGTGGTCTTAGGTGCGTGGTCAAAAATGAATCTATTTTAAATCCATAGCTATCTAATGTCTGACTTATAGGCTCTACTTATTTTGCGTGTAAACACAGTTATGATGTTATGAATCAGAAGCATTAGCTTGGTTTTAATTTTATAAAAGTGGGTTGTGACTTAATGGCCATGGGAAAATGTGGGTCCCAAGGTGAAACCAGTTGAGAAACACTGCCTAAAAGCATTGTAAGATACTTCAGCAAAGCTCCTAAGTTCAGTTAATTAACTACCGACCACTTACTCTAAGTTGGCTGTCCTCCATCACAGATTTTCCTGTAAAGTGTGGCGAAGGTAAAACAATCTAATTTTAAAAAATTGACACTGGATCTATTCAGTATTGAGCCTATGAGTGGAAAACAGTTACAATGATCTATAAATCAGTCACTACTGATGTGGCGCGACAATTACTCAAATCCATTTTCAGCAAGTATATAGTAGTGCTTCAGTGTATATCAATATTGCCATAAAAAGACAATAATACTTTAAGTAGATATATAGTAATATATACACCGATCAGCCATAACATTATGACCACCAGGGTTCCCAGGCGGTCATAATGTTATGGCTGATCGGGTTATACTACAGCTATTTTGTTGTCAGGTATGACAAACCCTTTTTCATTCTACTTTTCTTCTTATAACTTAATAATAATAATAATAATAATAATAATAATATTGTTCATAAGTATACGACTCCCACTGACAATGTCAAGATAAGAGAACAACCAGCACATACTGTACAATCCTACAGGTATGTCCTCATAAAAACACTCAGCCTTTTCCAAAGAGTTTCATACAGCCCCCCCCCCCTTGTATTCAGCACATGGACCCAAAGCCTCAAGGCCATAGCAGCGGATCTAAACAAACATTTTACACTAGAACAGAATCATGCTTCGAGATACCATCAACATCATCCGTCTGGATTTCATGCTCCCAGCAGATATAGGCCAGAACTGTTCAGCAGCTTTGAATAACAGTTTGTTTACTTAAAATGTGTGTCTCAATGCACATAGAGGGCCAATTCTCTCCCATAGCTATCTGCCTTGACATTGTGAAGTCTGTTGTTGTAAGGAGGCTTATGCAAAACTGATAAATTTCACGGATCCACCATGTGACAAAAATGTGACATTCCTGTGGTGTGGATCCACAATGCATCATGTATGTTCAGCTCCCTTACTGGAACTAATTAAAATAATTTCTAACAACCTTATCGGAAAACAAGCTCGCCTCCTGACAATACCCCCTATTAATTTTACACAAGTCGCCATTGTATGATTGGATCACAAGAATTGCTCTGCTGCAGGCATAATATGTGCCTAAAATAATCAAATTAATTCTTTCCCTACGAAATCACTCACTGACTTGTTTGTGGAACCATAACAAAATGTTGTTTTTCTCCAAAGGTCGCAGAGCACACGATTGTCTGAACAACTGAAACAAGCATCCATTGATGCTGTTAATGTTAAACAGCACAGAAGATCAAGGAAGAAGCAAATCAAATAGTGAAGTAGTAGCGAATGGGGATGTCCTTAGGAATGAAACAGCCTCGTGACACCATTTGTTTTTCTGGTCATCTTGAGCTAAACAATTGGGACAAAAATGTTTTCTTACAGCCTTTTAAAAGACCTAGAGATAAGGTCACAATCACAGCTGTATAAATGGGGCCATTTAGTTAAGGATGTCACTGGAAAATAATCTGAACAAAAACAGTCTTGACAGAAGTGAAAACGTAGGGACACCGGCCTAATATCCTGCACATAATTTAAGGTCCACTATAGATCCACTACAAAATCCCTAAACTATTAAAACATTCACTTAACGTGCTCTTAATAAATAGGTGTTTAATTTCTACACTTATCTTTAAATGTGTGTGTTGTAGTAGATGTTGTGATATTGCTGAACTCTACTTGGCACTTGGCCATAAAGCCTCTGATAATATCCCAGTAATGCGAAGTAGGAGTGTTTATCTTGATGGCATTAAAGCATAATGGCACATGAACATTAAATAGTAAAAGATTGTTTACTTTAACACTGTTAGGTTTATTACATTTATAAGCAGATACATTACCTTGACTGTGATGCTTGGGGTCTTTATTTTCTTTCAAAGATGACTCTACTCTGAATGCTGAAAAGCCACAAATGGCATCACAATTATTTCAAAAGTGGGAACAAATAGAGAGCCTAACCCAAAATGAGTGCTTTCATTTTGATGCCATAAATAACTGCAAACAGAACCAAAATTGTAACTTTTTTCATGTATTTCACATCCAGTTGTGTCAGTGAAAAATGCAGCAAATAACTCTCATTCAACCCCAGTTTTTTCCTGACTGACTTTCAACAAAGTCATATTCAACAGCATTTTGTTGATTTGCATACTTACTCAGCTCTCTGTGTCTCTTTAGCTCAGTCTTCAGGTCAGCAGAAGATCCAGTGAGGAAGCGTCCTTGTTCACTGCTGCCCTCTGCTGACTAATTAATATACAGGGTGAAGGAGATAAACGGAAAATCACAAAACCCCCAGCAACACACAAGAAATAGTGGGGAAAGGGGAAAATATAGCTCACTGTATTGGAAATGAATGAAAAGGGGAAAAAAAAAAAAAGTTGTAGTCTGAAAGGAAAAGCCATGTCAGAAGTGAATATTCAGTGTGTAATAAAAACCATCATCTCTCAATCTCATGATATGATGGAGACAGAGACATTTCCGCCTATTGCAAAGATTTAAGACCAAAGGAAAAAGTCTTTCTCACGAATATTTCCTCCAGCTCTTTCCTGGCCTTGATGAATGCATCCACTGATTGTTCCAGTTTAGATCGCGTGGAATCCAGTCTGGTCAACGCAAAAGAGAGTGGGGTAACAATGGTAACCTTCTTCATATTATAATTCTGATTCATTTAAATAAATGATTGGCTGTTATATTAAAACATGTCTCTTAAAAGCACTACACATAACTACTACAACTACTACTACTACTACTACTACTACTACTACTACTTGTTGTATATATTGGCTATTGTATATTGATATTGATCAGTAGCTTGTGGGTTAAAAGTAGATTGAAAACCACATGGATAAATCAACAGAATGGTCTGTATAAGATACAATCCAAGACCTACACAATAAACTATTTAGTGTCTATCCCAGACACAGATACTATTACATTGATTTTGAAATTTACAATAAATTAACACACTGCTGTGCCCCAAATGACCCTAATATGACATAACCAAGTGAGTGTTATGAATGTACTGTAAACCGAGCTCATGTAATGTATTAGTGACAGCACTATAAAATTAAAAACTAATGCTTGTCTTGATGGATGGGCCAGACACCAAATGTCTGCCTTGACTAAGGAAATGGTTCTTGTGTTAAGTGACTCTTATACAACTATTTTTAGTGCTATGTAAATCACTGATAATTTGGCCAGTGATGGATCTCCGTCATTCCGTGTCTCCTGTCATTAAATTCTGATATGTCATTATGACCATCAGGAAAGTGTGGCAATTGAAATATTGCAACTCATAAAAGGGAGTTCTCTGTAACCCTTTAACTCTGTGCTCTACTTTGGCTCTCTATGTATTGACAGTTTGCAGTAAAAAAAAAAAACGTAATTTGCAGCCTACAATATAAGTGATTGATTGAGAGATTGCAAAAGCTTTGACTTAATTACTCACTTTTCCAACTCCGTCTGTGGGACCTCTTGTTCACGTGTTGTGACGTTGGTCTTACCTGTTGATTAAGCATCACATCCTTAATAACACAATCTAGAGTACACTGGCGTATATACAAGTTACTGTTGCTTTGTGGACTGACAGGGGGGCAGTATTATTTACCACACAAGGACTACAATACACACAGCATGGCTTATATTTAAAGTCATGGTCCAAATAGTCCTTAAGAATGTCCTTGTCAGGAAGGACAACCCCCAGCTCTCTAATCTAAAATGCAGTTGCAGAATATTCACAGAGTGGTCCGAGAATGGAGCTCGTAGATTGAGGTCATTTGTCTGGCAGCTGGAAGTACAATTTGGCAGTCTTCTTAATACAGCAGTGGAAGTGAATGGGGGTAAATCTACAGGACAATCAAATCTATAATTATTGAGTCAGTAGTTTTTTTTAAATTGTCATTTACACAGTAAAAGGTCATTGAGAACAAATGCAACCTGCCACTCAGTCACACATATACTGTTCCACGCTGTGGGTCAAGAGTTCAGTCAACCCGCTGCCCAGATAATAAACTCCTTGTCCAAAGAAATTAACCACTGACATTTTAGTCAAATGCCCATTTCTCTAACCTTTAGACCACGCCTGAAAACAAAACTAATACAACAACATTTACAGTGTGTGGGATCAGTTAAGATACACAGGTGTTCATTTAAACAAATCTGAACAGACTATTTGGACATGAGACACAGCTCTAACAATGACCAGTATGCCAGTGTTATTTTTGGCAAAATGAAGGGCAATTTTGCACGAGCATGGACATAGCCTGAATGAATTTGTCTGCTTCTATGTATGTAGCTCATGCTTCTGCAGGTTCTGCAAAGACAAACGTCAACACACCTGCCTGAGAACTTGCAGTCCCTGTTGAAGGTGCATGGTTTCTTGCGGGTACTGGTATTTTGGAAACTGGATGCTATTCAGGATGGAGAGAAGACAAAATTTGTCAGAAAAATGCTCGAACAACTAACATTTGAAACACAGCCCGGCTAAAAGTTACACTCTGTAAACTTTTAAAAACACTACATGCCTTTTTCACAGCAGTCATTTTGACACAAAATAGTAAGGTAAACCCAGGTGTCACCAGAGATAAGTTACATTTAGTGTAGCAGAGCCATTCAAGTCTTTCATGTCAGAATGGCTGCTGTAAAAAAGGTCTATTTTGCACAGAAATGAGAAAGCAGCACATTATCTACAGGTGATCGGTGAATTGATTACATTGTTAGTACACTTGGTACAAGGACCGTTTGATTACTTACTTGATGGCCATTGTCCATGCGCAGAGTTCTCCTCACACTGTTAAGAGAAACACATGCAATGAATTGCTTTATTTAAAAAATAACTTCTCTATCTTTTTTCTTTTCTTTTCTTTATTCATTTTCTCATTTCTATGGCTTCTATTCTGCTCTTATTATTGTATTTTCGTATGGTTGTGTGTCACAGCTATTGTCAAAGCACTTTGTAAACTCTGTCTTTAAAAAGGTGCCATATAAATACAATTATTATTGTTATTAACTAATGAGTGTGTACTAAAGTAAGCTATAACAGTCGGACACAAAGTGACCAAGCTAATACTGTAACATCATTTTAGAGAGTTGTGTAACACTACAAAGTATTTCTGAAGTCTATTCAAGTAAGGTTACCGTACGCTTCAATGTAGTAATCAATACGGCAGATGGAAACAGAAACGGTGAACAACACTCACGGCATTTTAAAGCTGGTTCAGCAGAAGTTTCTTTTTTGTTTTTCAAATTTATGAAACTGGCGCCGTTACTACACTCAAACAGTTCGTGTAAAACGCAACCTGTCCTATATAGTACCGGATGTCCCCTTGTTGCAAAAACGACTCGAACAGCGTAACAAGGAAAATCCTCATCTATATTCTAAACATCGCTTTTATTTATTTATTTTAATCACTGAGAAGTCCAATACTATCTTACAATTAGGTTTTAACAACAACGGGAAACGTTAACGTTTGTTTCTTCAGTGTCGTTTTTGGTGAACACCGACAACTTTTTTGTTCCCCTAGCAACAGACTGCAGCTAGCAACGGTGCTTGACAAACGTCATAGCCAACGCCGGTTCAATACCACGCAGTTGGCAGGCGTTCAGGTGATTGTTACGGTGTGAGTATGAAACACTACAAACAATAATAGTTTAACCCCAAGTTAGCCGCTATATCTGGCTGTCGTAGGGTTTCCTGAGCTGGGCGGTGCTAGCTAACGGCGAACAGGTCGGTATCTTCATCCAAAGATGTCTCTTCAAGAGGCACCTCGTCCTTCTGATGAAGAGGAGGCTTTCTACATGCAGTGCAGAGCCGCATACCTTGCTGTGTTCAAATCTAGTTTGAGCAATATCTCTTCGAAACAGCAGTTATGTCGTGGTAAGCTAACGTAAAACTCTGCCATTTAGGTAGTTGTTACAGTGCTACACATTTTCCAATTTCATAGGAAGAAAAAAAATCATCTTAAATAGACTTTATTTTCGTGTTATTTCTGTAACATAGGACGTTAGCTTATAGTGGTGACTGTATGATGACTTCTTGGACACTAGCAGTCACTGGTATATGGAGCATTTTCTTGTTCACGACTGAAAACCCTGCAGTTTTACAGAATAAAACTCAACTGAATGTTATATTCTCAAAAGAGCCCACAAGCTTTAGCTGGCCACTGTTTCAGGAGCAGTCTGTAAAAGGCATCAGCTGATGACATGAAGTTATGATGCTCTAATTTTCAGCTTAGAGAGACAGTTGTCTGTGTTTGTAAAAATGAATTTACATGCACAAAAAGTGTTTGAGAGAGGACAGTGTGAATTCAGTCATTACGAACCAATGCCGTGCAGCTGAACATTGATTTAACATTGATCAGAAACACAGAGCTATAGTGGTAGTTGCAAGGTTTCCAGAAACAAAATATGATCAAATTAAGCACAAGATATTAAAAACATTTCTGTTTGACAACAAAAAGACATGACGTCTTAAGATGAGACTATTATCCAACCTCTAAAGCTACTTAAGGGAAATAAAAGGGGAGAAGTGCATGTTTAGGGCTTAACTAGAACAGAAAACAGGCCTACATTGTCCGCCATAAGCCTTTACTACTTGTAGATTCAATGTTCCTCTTTCCCATTCATCCTATTCAGTTCTCCAGCAGGCTGGTAGAAATCCATCCCAAGCAACTCTCAATAAATACTGGACCCCGAGAACATCCAAACTGAACTTTGATGACTTCTGTGAGATTCTCAAGTGTGAGAAGAAAACGGAGGAAACGGAGTTGATGAGAGCCTTCAAAAAGATGGATGTGAATGGTGATGGCTACATCTCACAGAGTGAACTGGAGAAGGCCCTAACCACTGTGAGTAGTCTGAAACATTTCAGCCAGATCTGCAGCAAATTGTATATTTATTGTTTTAGATTTGTGTGTAGGTTTTGGCTACAATTGTTTATTAATTAAAATAACTGATCAGCTCTTGCTTAAACAAAAAAAAGATATATTTTTGTTCCGGTGTTTTTCCTACTAAAGACTATGTGTTGAATCTTCCAGAGAGGAGAGAAAATGACCACTGAAGAGGTGAATGCTATTTTCTCATTACTTGACATCAACAAAGACGGCAAACTGGACTATGCAGAAGTAAGTATCAAGTGACTTCCATTCTTTCTTACTCATGTTGCCTATTTTCTGTATATACAACACTTGATTGATCAGTTTAAGATGATTAGTGCACCAGTGTAGCATCAGAACAAAGGCTACTATCCCAAGCGAGAGAAAAACTTTTGGAAATGGTAAAATTATATTAATAATGTACAATGGGATTCATATTTGTACATATTTTAACACGTGCCACAAATAATTGCTTTGAGCAAGTTCAAATGCACCACAGTAAAGGATAAAAACACTCTTCAAAATGTTTCTCTTTAAAGCTGAATTGAATTCATATAAAATACAGAAGAATCGGGGATGCAAAGTGTCACAGAAAGGCTTTATTTAATGTCATATGCTTACCTCCACTCAAGATATAAACACACAACCTCTCTCTTGCCTCAGAACATCCTCTTGTATCATCCCCTTACTACTGGTTTCCTGTTGCTGTCAGTTCTGCAGATTGCTTGTGTCTACAGTAGAGCAGTGTGAGATGGCTGTTTTGGAGAGGCTTGAGGCTAATGCCAAGCTGAAGAGACAGAACTTTGGCAGTCAGTCATACAGCCCTCCGAAGAGCTCCGTGTCATCAGCATCATCATCGGCAGCACAAGCGACAGCGACTCTCCCTCAGCCTCCGGAAACACCACGGGCAGACTCTGATACAACACTCAAGAAAGGTACACCGTGTGACATCTCAGAATAAGAAGATCTTAAGGAAAAAATGTTTACTGTTTTTGCTCTCATTTTTCTCCCTCAAAAGTACTCTTTGTCCCACCCAAAACACGTTCACACAAAACATAAAATTGACTTATATTTATATCTAACTACAGTATGTCTTATAGAATTCAGGTTAAAACATCAAAGTCCTAAACTCTGAATTATCAAAGATTAAAAATAAAAAGTAAAAGACCACAGGAATGAACAAGGACAACAAAGCACCCAGAATTTATGCATTGTATGTTTTTAAAAACTCTGTTTGCATCACCAGTCACTTCTATACTCAGTGACCAGATAAATTATATACTGACAACTTTATTTTTTACATGGAAAGGCTAATATCTTATTGGTGCATTACTCCAGAACATAATAGCAATTTGTGCAGCGCAATCTACAAGTTCAAAGTAGCAGCCCATGTCGACTGCACATGAAGTACACTTCAGATTCCAATTTATAGTTGCACACCCATACACAATGCTTGCCCCAATACGCCTCACCGATTAGTTTTGATGAATAAATAATAGCTCTGTTATTGATCGATTTTTCACTCCCCCTGTGACAAATCACCTCATTAAGACAGGCCATACATCATAATAGCCACACAATTAGGGCAGCTTGTTTGGAGGGAGGGGACTGTAAAGCGTTGTGATTTGGGTAATCATTTCTGCCATTAGGAGATTGACAAACGCTCCATCTACACTGATGAAAAATGCTGCCTTTCAACTATGGCTTTGGAGTTAGAAATATATATTTTCATAGCTTCAACAAACAAAGACTGGCATCATGTCCAGCTTCACTCTTCTGCAACCACTGATAATAAACCAACAGAGTTATTTTCTGTAAAAGACAGCACCTTTAGCAAGTTGAATGTAAAAATCCACTTTTTGCACTTTAAAACCAGCATTTCGAGGAAAGAGAAGAACAGAGATCCTGGATGAGCGAGCCAGGGACAGGCCCACAGTGGGAAGATAGATGGGGTTGATTTAAGTGGTCAGTCCATGTTCATGTTATTGATTCGGAGGATTCCACCACTTCTCACTGGGGAGATGATGAGGGATTAGCCGGTGGTCGAGAGGAGGGCCCCGTCGACCACCACTGCAAAAACAAATGAGCTCCCACATAGTTGTCTGGATTATCACATTATTGTGCCTCTCCCACATATTGATTTATACCCGCTACATTTTAACAAGACTCTGGCACGAGATGCAACGTGCTCGCACATATTGAATGCGTTATTCTTGGAGCTCAAAAACAGTTTTGACTTCTCATTTGGTCTGGCATTTGTCAGTATAAACCATTACCACCCTGAGAAATATGTTATAACTGTATGGGACAGGATCATTTTGACTAATTATTTTACAAATAATTGATGAGATACTGATTTATAATGTATCAGGTATTTGTGTCTAAAATGTTTTGGCAAACAGTTAGGCCAATTGATAAACTGCCATGGTGTTTCTCTGATAATTGGTCTATTTAAGTCAATTCTCACACTTTTCCAGCAGCAGGAAACCACTAGTGCTGAAACAACACTGGCTATAAACTCACATTCAGTATAAACTCACACTGAAGCTTTTGTTAGGCCACGTTTCAGTGCATCTTTGTCCACATTCACACAACAGCTACAATTTGGTCCTCTAGATTAAAATACTGCCATCAATACAAAATAGATCCATGACAAATACCAGGACAGCGGATCTATTTATTTCTCTGCTACGGTAATTTGCTTGTAAGCCTATCACATTACTTCGCATCTTGATTTCCCGAGCTTTGAAACAATCAGACCCCTCATTAGTGAATTGATATTTTCTGGCTTCAATTAGTGTTCAAGGAAAAAAGTTGTGCAAGATAATGGATTTGAGAGGGTGCCGTTATGCCATTTGTGATTTAAAAGCCCTCCATAATTAATTAAAAGAGAGCTGAACTTGAGATCACACTTTCTCAGAACCCAAATGCAAAGCAGCCACCTTCACTTTAACTCGGGAATGGACTTCTGAGAAGACAGATTATAGTGTCAATTATGTTGTGCACCTCATCTCTTTTTTGAAAGTGTGTTTACTGTTTGGGGAGGGGAGGGCTGTACTCAATCAGTCAATTGAACTTTTTTTTCTGTTGCAGCAATGTTATGACTTGATTAATTTAGAATAATTGTGGATGTATTAGTTTGTTAGCCTTTATCTATGTTTGAGTTTTTATGTTTGTGTCTGGTATGTGTGTGTTTGTGTGTCTCAGACAGTCGATCATCCTCCCGTCCTTCTTCTGCTCGCAGCAGACGGTCGTCCCTGTCCAACCCAATCACTATGACATCCAGCAGCACTAAGACCAGCAAAATACAAGAACCCTCAGGCTTGCAGGTAATCATCGATTAATCTGTCTATTATTTTTCCGATTAGTTGATTCTTAATTTAGTTTCTGAAATGTCAAAAACAGCAAAAAAATGCCCATCACAAGTTCTGAGAATTTTTTGATATATAAATAAATATATTGAACTTACGATGATAAGAAACAGATAAAAACAGCAAAGAATAACAGGTGTATTGATATGGAGCTTATTTATTTTTTATATTTCTGAGCTCAAGTTTTTCAAACACGCATGAAGGTTTCTTTTACTAAACAAACTAATAACATAAGCAGAGTTGTTGAATCATATTTCAGTTTTTAGTCACAATCTGTTTATGTAATATTTCTAAACTGGATTTGAGGAGAGTTAATTGTATTTTAATACAGTAATTTATTGTAATTACTCATCCATTATATCAGTATATGCTTTTTATGTTCCATAAGAAACATGCTATGTTATAAATCTGAAAGCTGAACTGTTTGTGCCAAAATCTTTGTATGTGGGCTCCGGTGATATCAAGAACCTTGCAGCCCCACTGCGCTCCCAGTGTCACTGTAACCCAGTGTTTTTGATGGGCGAATTTAGCCCAGGGTGGATAGATATACACTGTATTGATCTCACGCTCTTTGTTTTCACTCTTTTTGGCTTAACCTCGGCTGGTTTGCTTTACAGCAAGAAAAATAAATAAATAAAAATAACAGCCCCCTGCTCCATCTCTCAGACCCAAGCACTGTGTTGAGATTGGATAGGGCCAGACATCATGGAGGTAAAAGAATGTGTGTCCAGAGATTACCTCTGAGGGAAGTTCTGCTCGCTATATTGGCTGCTATATTGCCACAGGCTGATAATTGGGAGGGGGTGGGTGGAGGGAAGGCTGTGTTTTTGTAGCAGTGGGTATGTGTGCATGTTTTTGTGCCTTGTAGGATGCAAATGTGTCACCACGAACATAACCAGTGAGGAATATTCATTTTTCTCAGGATTAGTTTTTTTTCGTATAGGTTAGAATTATTAGATAAGTTACAGGCCAGGGTTTAAATGTGTGTGTTTGTGTGTGTGTGATTGTGTTTGTGGCTGGTTTGGTGTCCTGCGACCCTTCGCGTAGCAGTAAATCAGACCTGTGGCCGGAGCAGGTGACAGCGCCTGTATTAGTCTGCAGGCTGACCCTCTCTCTGTGGGGGCATTAATTCTGATGTCTTTAAGCAGTGGATGGGTGCCCATGGCAATTTCCCTTATTTAATATTGTCTGGACAAACCTCTGAAGTGTTATGGTTTGATCTTTTATGCCTCTCACAGCCCAAGATAAATACTTTGAGAAAATGGCTTTTCTCTAAAGGAGTGACATGCTCCGTCTTTATGGTACTTTCTTTGTTTAACTTGGTGATTTATTTGTCCACTAAAAGGATATATAGCCTATTCCAGACTTGCCCGGCCCTCAGTGTCCTCTTACTGTGTGTCCACACCAACTGTGTTTTCATTTAATGTGTCTCCAATGAGTGGAAGGAAAACTTCCTTGTTTTGATGTTCCTGTTCAATTTCAAATTATTACCTCATTTCAGTTGTGCTGCCAGACAAAGGAACAACAGGATTTCAAAATGAGAGAAATATTAGGATTCATAAATATTGCCAAAGTAGCCTCTTGATAGTTTTGAATGACCGCTGGCCCAAGATTGAAAAGGCTGTATTTATCAAAGTTAAATGGACTCCAATTTGCCCTATCAGGTCCTAGAGGGAGATTTACTTCAGCCTTCAACAGAAACACAGTGTAACACTTCTGCCCTCCTCTGGATCCGTACGAGTATAACAAGTGTTTGCTGCTAAGCTGACATAAACTGTGTAATAATGAATATGCCCCCTGAAGGTTGGAGTGGTAATTATCACGACGGCAGTTTCTGTTAATCAAGCGAGCAACCTCACTGTTATGATTGACTGCTTAATTCACTTTTTCATGGCAAAATATACTGTCACAAGATCAATCCCCCTTTTAATAGGAACTGCAAATTGGTTTTGGTTTCTGTTGAATGAATAAATGCATTTTGTTGTCAAGCAGCAAAACAGTTTGTTTAGACTGTGTCAGATTCTAAACAAAGACCACACATAACAAAATATAATAGGATACACATAACATGATGTACTGTATACGATACTTCAAAAGGCTTAAAATAGCAAACAACTGGGTCCAGTTCTGATAAAGTTTAGAAATCATTACTCTTCTGCTTTATTAGCTGCACTATATCAGTTTGTATGAATGTGCTGGGACTGTCGTTAAGCAGAAATGTTACCCATTGTTCCAGGATTGGCATCACAGTTATGTGAAGGGCTGTTTCTTCTTGGAGGACGATGGAAGTGTCAGTTCTCTGCAGTACCAGTTCCACATCCCCCAGACAACCAACGTCTACCTAACCATCCAACCACTCAGCCTCAGCCACAGACCTGGTACTGGCACTTTTTCTTTTTTATATTACACATAAATCAAAATCATAAAAATTGTTTAATTAACCCTATTTCCCATAGGGATGTTATATTTTTCCTTGCTCCCCTGTTTATGGAGGTCAGAAATTAGGGTCAGGAACAGGACAGCACCTCTGGAGCTGGTAGGAATACAGTAGTTTTCTCAAGCATTCTGGATTTGGACCTGAGCCCCTCAGGATTCATTACTTCAAAGTCCCATATTTCAATTTCTGACTGGACTGCTTGCTGCCCCATTGCTTCGCTACAGTTTTTAGTGGCATACAGTTGCACAATTTTAAAGATGTTTTCAGTGACATTGTAACATAAATAAAGTATCGCCCCAGTCATTTTCAGATAATGACTGATAAACAAAAAGACCACACAGAAGCCCTTTATTGGCCCCTGCACTGTATTCTTTGTGGGGCAACAGGTCAGATGTGGTAGGAATTGTGCTAGATTGTGTTCCAGCTCAGTGCACGATAATTTATGAAGTGGGTGCAGTTCAGTTCATAAAATTGAAGCACACAATAGCAGATAGTGGTTTCCACCACCGCTATATGTGTTCTAGTAAAGATAACGGTAAAAGTTGAAGTTTGTCCACAAACATTTTATATATAATAATCTATTAAAATGCCTGGCATCTTGTGTTATTTTTCAGACAAGCCTTCTTCATGGATGACAGTGGACACAGCCCTTTTTGTCATGTCAGCTGGTGAAACCAAAGAGGACTCAACATTAGTGTGTTTCACTGAGTCAAAAGACAAAGAAGTATGTTTGTGTGTGTAGAGGGATGCACATGTACTATTTGTTTTAAAATTATTCCCACTGATACTTAATTTAAGAGTTTGTGTGTTGATACAAAAATAAGTTTGTGTAAAATATTTACCCCAAAAATGTTTCTCGGTGTACTGCCAAAAATAGTTGCTATTTCTGATACTATGAAGTTGAAACGTGTTTGTGCTACATCCCGGGATATGCTCAGTGTTTTTAACTTTGTTTGCTACTCCTTTGTTCCTACAGAAATATGTTTGGAAAGGAGAATTGAACGCTGGAACTTACTACCTGCTTCCCTTCACTAGTGGTTGCAAACTAAAGAAAAAGAGCAAAAAGAGCCTTTCTAATCAACCTGTAGAGCTTGTCTACAGGACTGACACTGGAGAACTAGACCTCACTAGAGAGCTCAGGTGAGTGTGTGCATGTTATATGTGTATTTGTCTGCTTCATTCCACCATTGTAAGTATAAAAATACACAACATAGCAAAGTTTGACTCATCAAATGTCACCAACTTTGGCTAATGACCAAACATTGAGATTGTGTATTAACGTCATTAGGGTTTGTTGGATCCAGCTCTGTTGTCACCACAGCACTTGAATGGATGGTTACATGGTTGGAAACTTGAGAGATTAATGAGTTAAGGCTATCTCGGTTTAAGCCCTGTATTGGACTGACATACTGACATTTCTGTGTGTTGCTCTTTTTGTACCACAGGGAGGTGCTGTCTGACATATTTGAGGTGATAGACATGGATGGAAATGGTTTGCTCAGTTTAGAGGAGTACAATTTTTTTGAGCTGAGGACCAGTGGAGAGAAATGTGAAAAGGATGCCTGGGCTGTCTGCAAAGGTAATCACTCTCATTATGGCACTGATACACATGATGACCAGTGTTACATTTATGTAAAAAAATACAATGTACAGGGGTGGCTTCCTTATGGCTTTTCATTTGTGCATTTGTTCATTTGCTCATTTGCTTGTTGGTTGTGCAGAAAACTTTGATATGAGAAAGAACCAGCTGACACGGCAGGGCTTCATGGAGCTGAACCTGATGGAGGCCACAGAGAAAGATGGAGACCCTGCTGACCTTTGGGTCACCCTGGAAGCCATGGGCTACAACCGAATGCTGGAGCTCGTAGAGGTAAGTTTACACATCTGCTCTCACTTAGAACAATCACAGAGTTCAAACAGTTCTTATATGACATGAAATGATATAGTCCTAATATGCTGTAATTTAGGGCTTACATTGGAAACTTGATGGGAAAATACATTTAAATCAATAAGCCATTCTACAAAAGCTAGCTACTAAACTCTCTTCCTGTTTCTAACACATGACACAATGATTTCCATGACCAATATCTCCAAGTGCAAATGTGGGATATTAGCAAAAGCACTGGTTTGATACACACACACACACACAAAGAAACACATCCAGACTTTCAATGTCTAACCTGAATCCTAACTAAAGTTCTCTGCCTCCCACTCTGTCAGGCATGTCCATTCCAGATAGATGTACACTGTGAAGGCACTCAGCCATCCATCCAGCCAATCAGTATGGACTCAGGCCCCAAGCTTCTAAACCAGGGCCTCCAGAAGTCCATCACAGCCAGGACAGGGGCCAAAGCACTGAGGGGACAAGACAACGTCTTCATCTACATTTACAGAGGAGAACACAGGATCTCCTCCCTCATAGCCAACAAGGTAGACGACAAACTTTGAAAAAGTTATTTTCTGAATGTGCAGGTTGAGTTTAATTGTGAAATTAAGATATCATTGGGCATAATACAGTTTTATGCACGTGAAGCTGCATGCACACAGTATTTCAAAGAAGCAAGTGAATGTTCCTGATTCAGTTCAGACAGATTGCCATGAATCCAATTGGCCACTAGGGGGATGATAGTCCAGCTTTGAAGTAAAGTCTGGTAGTGAATTATCTATTTTTATAAATTCATGATGTGCTTTTCATCAAACAAGTGAAAAACAGTGAGAGAAATAACAGAAGTAATTATCATTATTTTCCAGATGTTAAGCAGTATTACTAAAAGCACAAATAATCAGAGTGTTTGTGTATTGTATGGTGAGTAAGTCTTTATACTGTATCTTCAGAGTTTGTATTAGACACTCCGTCTACAGTGTATGGTTGCAGACACTATTCACCCTGTTTGTAATTGATATGCAGCCATCGTATTGACTCTCACAGCAACAGGAACTACTCAGCAAGAATGACCTGGTGACAAAGGAACCACTGAACTGGGGAAATGGTTAAATTTGTATCCAGTTTACCTAGAGGGTTGATTTGTCTTTTTTGTTTTATATTTACCTTATATTGTCTCACTATTCAACTACAGTGACACCAGCAGTGATGCGTGGGGTGTAGAGCTCTCTTGTAAACACATTCAGTACCCACAGAACCCACAGCTAGGTCCAAACATAGCAACAGTTTGGTATATGAATGTATAATTTTATGTATATATTCTTAGATTAGCTAAAGCACATAAATCCCCTTTTCTATGAATAAGAAGCAAAATAGGCTGTTGTTTTAGACTATAGAGTCCTGGCTATGTATCTGTAGAATTTCTTTATAGTCTGTGGTTTTAAGTTAAGAAAGCTGATTAAGAAAGTGACCAATACCCTTTGTGTTGCAGACCAACCAGAAAGTGACCGTCCATGTAAACAATGAGCAGAGCAGGAACTGCTGCAGCAGCCGAGGCATGAGTGTGTTTGCTGTCGAGGTGCCAGCCAGGACTAAGATGGTACGAAGTCTTCCTGAGAATGCCGTCTTGGTTATTATGCCATGTTCCATTTTACTACATTTAAATCTACAACTAAGTCGTTCATTCTGAATAAAACAATACTATAATTGGTATGATGGTATGATGGTATGAAATGACTGTTTTGGATACTAATACAATGTTCTCTAGGTGTGCCAACACGTCCTGCCTATCAATGAGAGACAGGATTGGACCTACAACTGTGTGGAGACCATACTACCCTGCACGTAAACCTGTTGTCCCATCAAGGATTCAAAGCTCACCTATACTAATAAGACAGAAAAGTGATGGGCCACAATTATTCATAAAACAGTAATATATGAAAACTGTTATTACTGGTTGGACCAAATGATTGTGTAGTTTTACTCTAACTTTCAAGGTCCCAAAGGAACAGTTCCTCATCATTTCAGCTTTTAGAAGTCCACTGTCATGTTCAAAGCTTACCTGTGTGTTTTGAAAAGCCTCAACCAGGAGCTGAGAGCCTCTGCCTGCTTGTGGCCAGCAGCTTGATCAGGCCCACTTCAAGAAAGGTGTTTCAGAAGCTCAGTGAGTCTGTGCATCACTGGAGTTAACCATTGATGGCAGCAAGAGATGGTGACTGTAGTCATAAAGCACAGCTGATGATGGTTGTTACTGTTTTTGTTGTGCCTTTGTATGTGTGACATGTTTTGGTTATTGTGGAGAATTTCTGCAAAATTCTCTTAACTCTGACAACATTTAAAGTGTATACAATGCATAGAAGCTTTAAAGGCCCAGTGTGTAGGATTTAGTAGGAAGCGTAGGAGAAACTACAGTGGTCACGAAACTCCTGAAAAATGTGACAGGCCCTTGAGCCAGTGTTTTGTTAGTCCATTCTGGGCTACTGTAGAAACGTGGCGGATTATACACTAATGAAAACATACCTAAAATATTTTGTTCCATTTTTAACAGTAGATTCTCCTAAATGTTACAAAATTATACTTTACTATTTATTATGTATCATTAAAGTAAAGGAGAGTAGATTTAATCATGAAAAAATAAATCTCTAAAGAAGTTGTTTAATGCTGTGTTATTTTATGTAACAGAAATCTAAATTTAAAATGTAGCATATTATTATTCATTAAGTTTCAGGTAGGTTGTCATAAAACGTCCAGTCAGAATTAAATGAAAAGTGTCACAGTGTGCTGAGATTTTATTTTCTCTGTCCTTTTATATACTTTACTTTGAAAAACATTTTATCATTGTCACTTTCCTCATGTATATGTAAACATTATTATTATTATAATATTCCTCTTACATATTTTTCTTAACTGATAAATCTTTGATTTACACTTTTGAATGCAACCCTTCATAATGCCCCCGAATAAAGGCAGATGCTCTCCAATCAGATCAGACAGGTTAACAGTGTTTGAATTACCACAGTTCTTTCACCTCTCCTCAAAACACAGTAATAGTTTTTGATAAACAGACATATTTTGTCCTGTTAATCATCAAATCAGTGCTTGCTGGGTATTATTTTTTAATTAAACTGAAGGATTGTACCAAAGTTCTTGCACTTACTGTCTGTTTCTGCCTGCATGTGACAGTGTAGCTGTTGGTCACCACTCTCCATACTCTTGATACAGTATGTTGCTGTGGGGATTCTGTGTTGGCCATGAAATGCATTCCTTTGCATTGCGCTCAGGTCTAAACTTTATTTGCCCTTGGCCTTTCAAGTTGAGAACAGTCTTGACCTCCTATTTATATCTCTTAGGCCATTATTTGCCCTTTGACTTTCTCTGCTGAAACAGTAGAGCGAGCTAACTAAATGTCACATGGCATGTGAGATGTATTTAATGTCCTGAGCCCCTGTCTGCTCTTCCTTTCCCAACACAGAGGTTTAGTAACACTTGGCTGCTCAGGGGCTGTCGGGGCTTCAGGGGCTGTGAGCCAATTTGAATATCTACTTTGTGAGACTGTCATTCTGCATTTAAATTCATTATGCCATGTGTTTTAAGAAGTACTTAATGTTGTATTCTTTTTTTTATGCTGTATGATTTTATATGATTTCAGATACAAAATAGTCTTCATCATTCAAAAATGTAAATAATTTTGCAATAAAATGGATTTGCCCCTAAATCAACAGTGGCAAAAATCTATCATCTGTCAATAATTAGTAAAATATGGTTTAACTAATGCTATAAATAGAAATAACAGAGTAAGATGATACTGCTTTTGGTATGTACTCAGTATATTCTTCTCTTAAGGCTATCGAGGGTAGTTTACCTCCACACACACACACACACACACACACACACACACACCCTCCACTGCCATGATGACAAGTCTGACGTTAAACTTTGTTCTACTTATGATAATCAAACACACCGTGATGCAACAGGCAAACAACAGTGGCCTGAACTATTTCACAATATTCTCCCTCCTCAAACAGAGTGTTGTATTTCCATATCTTTCTCTCTGAGTAATTGTAAGGGCAATTTTGTGATATTTAAATTGTACTGACTTATTAGAGAATGTATTATTTCATTTACTTGCTATCTAGGTTTTCTATCTGGTGTAAAGTTTTGAAATACAAGCCAGGCAGTCATTGACCCCTCAGTGGGACCTGACCTTAAGGGTACAAACGTCTGCTCAAGCATGAATAAATATGATCCGTCATTAGGAAACTGCTGGACACTGCAATTCTCACTTACCATGAGAGATTTTAAGGGCCTCAATGCTTTAAAGTTGGATTCTCCTTTTGGGGAATGTTGTTTTGCACCATATAGGCCAGAACTACCACTGGCAATACTTTTCTTTCTTTTTTTAGTTTTTGTGAATCTTGAGTTGTGAAACTTCAAAATGTACATGGTAGGAATTTTATAGGCTGATTCCAGTATTTTTATACTGTAATGTTGTTGGCAATTTGTGTAAAATGTTGTTATAAACTATTAAATATACTATACATGATCCTGGCCATTTAAATCAATGTTATTAAACATGTGTTTTAAATTCCCAAATACTAGATATCAGTGTTCTTTCTTTCTTTCCTCAGATTTTATGCATATGGTGGTGTGTTTTACTAAAATCCTTAATTGCAATAGATTGCCCTGCTTACAGTGTCCCAATATATTGCAATATACTGAATCATAACTCCTGTTTTGGCACCAGATTCTTACCAATACACAGTCCTGTTGTATAGACAGACTTTCTCTCTGCACCCAAATCCTTACAGACTGATTTCCTATCACTTCTCTCCTATCTCTTCTCAAACACAGACAAAACCTGCCAGAAATATATTTATAAAACTTTATCTGTAGGGTGGTGGTAGGTTATAGGGGGCAATGACCTTTTCTATCTTTAAAATCCTGGATATGGCCCTGTGCACCATTAGATTACCACACTGCAAAATTATTCATTTATTAATTTATGAATTACTCAAGTATGCATTAGAAACTGCATGAACTACAATTATCTTTCAAAACCTTCTTGTGATTGAGTGTGAAGAAACCCACCATGGTCACTACTTGCCCTTTAAACTGAGAAGGCGGATCTATGAGGAGGAGGAGGAGGAGGAGGAGTAGGGGGAGTTGTCCGGTGTGTACGTGTGGCCGCTCCGCCACTGCAGTCGCCTCCTCATCGGGCCAGACTGCGGATCACACGGGGCGACCATAGGTGCTCACTGGGGGGTCAAACATGGTGAAAATAACGACAGTCAAGACCAAGCCGTACACGGACCAGAAGCCCGGGACGAGCGGGCTGAGGAAGCGGGTCACGGTGTTCCAGCAGAACCAGCACTATGCGGAGAACTTCATCCAGAGCATTATCTCTGTCATCGAGCCTGCCGAGCGCCAGGCTGCCTCTCTGGTGGTGGGAGGAGATGGCAGGTTTTTCATGAAAGACGCGATTCAGTTGATCGTCCAGATTGCTGCTGCCAACGGGGTCAGTCAGTAGGAGAATTGTTCACCTTTGCAGGGCAGCTCTGTCTCCCTCCTCCTCCTCCTCCTCCTCCTCTTCCTCTGTGTGCTAGCAAGCTAGCTAAGTTAGCTAAAAATACACCAACAGACTCAGCTAGCAAGTCAGCGTCAAGTTTTGTCAACTTCTGTATCATTTTTTTTAAATTTAACGTTACACATACTTACATTTTTCGTACTGTGTGGTATTTTATGGGCTATTGTAGCTATTTTATCTAGTTACCTAACAGGAGAGGTCGAGTATTGGTTATTTGTAACGAAAGTACCCAAAATAAGTCACTAATGTATTAACGTTAACATCCCAAGATACAGTCATTGTGCAATAACAGGTGTGGTTAAACCCTTTTTTATTTTATTTTTTTAAGATTCAAACGTATTCAGTCACATTTTATTTAAGTGATGCATTGTTATAAAAAAATAATATAAAGCTTAAGTTACATGCTGTTGCAAGCTTCCCCCCTTCCCTTCCTTTGGCATGACAAGGAAGACAGTTGGAGAAATGATGGCATTCCTGCCTCTACTTGCCATGTCTTGATATTAGACATTGGTCTGATGATTTATCATTAAGGTTGTGTTCGTGGAAATCTACTCGACGACTCTCATGAGGTGCAGGTGTCGTCTGCACCCGTCTGCGTTTTCCTTACTGCGATGCCAACATGACCGCGGTGATCTTTTGGATAAAGAGCACGCAGGAGGCCACTTGAATATCAACACTATCACCTTTGACATTTAACGCCATATACCGACACTACACTGCAACTTCTTTGCTTTACTGTAAGAGATTTAAGATTTTAGCAGATTAAAAGACTTAGGTTAAGGGTTTAATCTTGCACAGTTTTACAAATGTGCAGAAACAGTGTTTTAAAGGAAGCATTACAGCCATAACGCAGTGCTGTTTCATAATGAGCTGTGGTGAGATGCCACTGGCTGCATTCACTCTGGTGTTACTGAAGAGACTTCAGGCAAGGAGGGGAGGGGGGGCGTGACATGCAACGTGCAGCCAGTCACGTTGCCTCTGCATATGTCTGTAGCATAGATCAGAGCTGCACGGTGCAGGAATAAATACATAGCACAGTATATTTTTGTTTTCTTTGACACTATGAGCATGTTACCATCTAATGCCTCCTTATCTCAACTGTAGTAGAGACAGCTGCAGGCATGGACAGGGTATTCTCTTTGCTGTCTGTGATCTGCTCTCTTATGAGATGGCCACTCTGCTTCCTGTGAAGCTACTGCAACGATTATTAGTAAATGCAGGGTGATGCCAGTAGGTTAAAGTTGCAAAAAGATGAAGTCTGCTATGTTTCATAGTTTCTCCACAAGTGGTTGATGTTAGGAAATGAAGAAGTGGAGAAACTGTCAATGCCCGGTTGCACAGACAGGGGTACTTCTGTTCATATGTTTACACAAAGCAAACCGTTGCATGTTTAAATAGAAATTCCTGGACCAAGATAGTGACACAATTTTAAAAATAATCGTCTATAAGATACACTTATTCTACTTCTTATATGTACTATGTCTCCTGTGTGCATTTTAGGACTTTTGCTGAATATGAAGCAATGGTATCCTTAAAGTGGATATTTCACATTATTACCAATAAATACTGAAGGTAAAGACAAGATTGTGTCAGTATCTCAATCATAACTTACTCTCTGATTTACTAACTGTCAGTGACTGCAACCAAGGTAACAATGACATGATAAGCTTTGCGCTTTCATCGAGGTTAAGCAATACCTGACTCAAATCAAGGAAGTGTGAGAAAAATGTGGCAGTTCACTAACGGCAAGCATTAACATGTAGAGCCTTAATCATAATCAATAAATCTAAACATACTGTCCCCAAACCTAGCATATTCATGCTGTCTTTGCCTGTATGTGTGTGCATTGATTTGTGTGTCCCTGTGTATTTATATTTCCTCCTGCAGATTGGCCATCTGGTGATTGGTCAGAATGGCATCATGTCCACCCCAGCAGTCTCCTGTGTGATCCGCAAGATAAAGGCAGTGGGGGGCATTATCCTCACAGCCAGCCACAACCCTGGAGGCCCCAATGGAGACTTTGGCATTAAGTACAACATCTCCAGTGGAGGTGAGACTGGACTGTGCAGTCTAGTGAGCTTCAGTTGTCAGACCCTAAAGGACTTCTGCCTAACATGTTACACAATAAGCAATGAGGAGAAATGTGCATGGAATCATTTTTTTGGGCCGAATCATCATCTGTATTTGTCGGTAAATCATTTTCTCACCGGCCTTTTACTTTGTCCCCAGGACCTGCTCCAGAGGGCATCACAAACAAAATATTTGACATCAGCAAAAGCCTGCAGGAGTATCACATCTGCCCAGAGCTGAAAGTGGATCTGTCCAAAATCGGCAAACAGACCTTTGAAGTAGAAACTTTCAAGCCCTTCACAGGTACAGTGACAGCAGAGTCCCGATCTCACTTGAAAGTGAAATAGTTTATGGCAGTGCATTTATTTCTTTGATGTCAGGGCTGAAAATGTATACCATGGATGGATGGATAATTATTAAGTCTTTCTTCTTGACATCTGCTGCTATCTTAATTGTGCTCTGTTTCCTCTTTGTTTGTCCTAGTGGAGATTGTGGACTCTGTGGAGGCCTATGCTGAGATGCTAAGGGGCATCTTTGATTTTGCTGCACTAAAGGAGCTTCTCTCTGGAGCCAGCCACATTAACGTCCGCCTGGATGCTATGCACGGAGGTAGGAAACAGCACAGCACAACTTTGTGACAGCCAGAATAGATTGCAGAGACTGGATTTGGAAATTGAGACAGTGGAAAATGGGTCCCCAGATTAAAATAAATGAGACACATTGCTGTATATTTAAGGCATTCACTATAGCCAAGCTAAGTGTCTTTTATCACATTTTAGGGTGTCACAGTTAAAGGAGTTACATTGTTTATTATTTAGCACTATGCGATATTGTTTAGCAAAGCGTATTAGTCCCCTTTTAAAGACTGTCTGTCCTTGCAGTGGTTGGTCCTTATGTGAAGAAGATAGTCTGTGAAGAGCTGGGTTCTCCTGCCAACTCTGCAGTCAACTGTGTCCCTCAGGAGGACTTTGGGGGCCACCACCCTGACCCCAACTTGACTTACGCTGCCGACCTGGTCAACACCATGAAAGGAGGAGAATATGACTTTGGAGCTGCTTTCGATGGTGATGGTGTAAGTCAACTTCAATTTCTGGGAAGAGGGTTTTACAGCTGTTTAATCAGACAGTATAATGGAGAGAGGTGAGAGCTGAGTTGTGAAGTTCTTGAACTGGATTTGAATCTATGATGTCAGCTCACATAAAATGAATTTAATAAACTCTGGTCCATTAGGGTTTTTAATTTGAAGTTTTTCTTTTTAATCGTCCAGCATCAGTAACCAAAATAATGGGCCTGGGTCCTGGTGTGAGACTGATCTGAACTCATTTTGACTTTGGCACAGCAATTTATTGAGGACAGTGAATGTTTTCAGTTAGCTGTTTTTCTCAAGCTTTTCCCTTGACACTTTTCTCATGTTTCATGAAAGGAACAGACCAAATTTTAATAAATAACAGGGTTCAATGTTAATGTAAACTTCGCCCACATCCTCTAACGCAGTGGTTCTCAACCTTTTTTCTGTCAAGGACCCCAAATTGATACCCAACAGGCCGTAGTTCAGTATTTGATAAGATGTAGTCTCAGGTAACCACATCTGATAAGATTTAATTATTCCACAGCTGTCTATACTGTAGATTGTAGAGTGTGAAACCTAGGAGCTAAATAGTATTCACAAATATTCTTGTACTTTTTCTCATTGGGCTAACTTCTAGTCAGTTAAATAATAGTGATTTTTTTTTCTCTGGACCCCTGGAACCTCTCATTGACCGCTGAACGCCACCTAACTAAACTCCTGTTTCCAGGATAATTGAAATGCATGCTTGTGTTTCAGCTCATAAACTTTGTCTAAGATTGATACTGCACATGTGCAGCTCTCAACGGAGATGAGAAGGAAG